ATATCGGTCTGTTTAAGACTCTCTCTTGCACATCAGGTAATCCTTGTTTCCTCTGCTCAAAGTTTCTGAACACACAGCATTGAAACACAATGAGTGGTAAGTGCTATATAGCTCCAGTATGCCAATTTAAGATTAGTAAACAGTGACTCAAAGTCTTTTTAGTCTATATTATCTTACGTTTTATATTGCAAAAAGGCGATGACAAAGAAATCACGTTTCAGCAGCATTACGTAATGTGACTTTCTCCCATACATAACGTGACTTTCTCCTAACCACTCTTCAGTGGTTCCCCGGTAAATCCAGAATTTCTCGTCACATACAAATGCTTCAGGCCCTCATACTATCATATAATGCCAACAGTGCACAATCAGAATGCAGGCTTGCTTGTAGTTTCTAGAGATTCTAAATTGGGAGGCAGAGCCTTTAGCTACTGGGACCCTCTCCTGTGGAGTCAGCTGCATATTTGGATTTGGGAGACAGGTGTCTTTACTTTTAAAATTAGACCTAAAACGTTCCTTTTTCATAAAACTTAGTCAGGACAGGATCAGGTGCCCCTGAACCATCCCTTAGATATGCTGATATTGGGTCAGATTGCTGCGGGATTTCATGTGATGCACAGAGCACTTCTTCTCCATGTGTTTATATACCTCTGCAACATGTCATTATAATTTTACCTTCTCTCTCCCTTACTGTGTTTGGTCCGTCTTCCTATGCTCTGTTCTCTTTTGTCTTCTCTTTCTTCTTTTCTCTTTCCTTTCACCCCCAACCGGTCCTGTCAGATGGCTGCCCCTCCCTGAGCCTGGTTCTGCCAGAGGTTTCTTCCTGTTAAAAGGGAGTTTCCCTTCCCATTGTCACAAAGTGCTTGCTCCTCGGGGGGCACTTGATTGTTAGGGGTTTTTCCAATACTTTATCATAGAACTATGATATCTAACCAGATTCTTACTCTGGATGGCATTACCTTGGCCTCCAGTAACACTGTGAGGAACCTTGGAGTCATTTTTGACCAGGACATGTCCTTCAATGCACATATTAAACAAATATGTAGGACTGCTTTCTTCCACTTGCCCAACATCTCTAAAATTAGAAATATCCTGTCTCAGAGTGATGCTGAAAAACTAGTTCATGCATTTATTACTTCCAGGCTGGACTGCTG